ATCAGGAAGGGCAAGCGAGACTCCTGGTCTCGTAAAGGTACATTGGCCTGGAAAATGGAGCCCAGGACAGACAGCACTCTGTTGCTTATGAGTAAGCAATATAGAGCATATTTATAAAAAGCATATGTTGTCTGGCCCTCACAAACACACCATATCTCCTCTGTCTTATAAAAAACCTAAGGTGTTTGCATAGTAGCAACAGCTCAGTGGCTTTGCTGTTACATCCTGCATGTCGTGGGAGACCTGGAGTCTGCTGGTAATAACAGGAAGGGTTATTGACCCTTTCGCATGTTTACAGCTACATGCAAAATATTTAGATTGAGTCTTCTTTTCACTATGTGTCTTACCCTTTTGTTTTTTTAAATGTGCTTTAACATTAGTGCTTCCAAATTTCTTACTCATATATGGAGTCTTCCCTAGATAGAGATGCCATGTGTATGTGTGCATATATGTGTGTGCATATATATTTGTCCAAATATACAGATGCAGTTAATTCTAAAGAGAATTATCTGCAACTGCAATGTAAGGCAAAGCCTGTCAGCAGCTGTTAAGCAAGCTGGCTGTAAAAAACAGTGACCAGAAAGATGTGTTAATACACACTGTCAAACAAATGTCAGAACAGCTTGTTATATTTTATTTTTTTAATGATTGACACAAACAATGAATCCTAATTGCCTCATTGAGTCTAGGGTGATGTTAGCTAACTTATCTTTACCATCAATGTCCTTATAAAAATGATGCTAATTATTAGACCAGCTTCATAATGTAGTCCTGATGTCAATAAAGCATTTAAATAAATGCTTAACCTTCAGTATGTGAAAGTATTTGGAAAGTTAAATGGGAATAAACGCACCTGTAAATGCCAAGCAGATGCTCCAGTGCCTTACCAAGTCTTGGCTTGTCTTCGCTGTTCCCAAGCAAAAGCATCTATTCCATAGTAGAAAATAACTGCCTGTATTGTAAAGCTGCCACATGGCAGAGACAACTGCAGAAGGTGCCGACGGGGAAATAGGACAAGCGCCGTACTTCTGGTGTTGGCCGGTGTTATTTGCTGCTAAGGAAGAACAGACATCGCCTCACTGCCATAAACTGAACTGGGAGGGCACGAGTTTCTCCCATCTTGGTGTCAAGAAGGTTGCCAAATGTAACCACACATTTTAAAAATTGGTGAAGTGGTTTCTCTTTAATCAGATAAACCAGAAGTTCAGAGCGATTTTTCACTAATTAGTTTAATAGCACTTACATTAGAAGACTGGAAATCAGGCAAAAGCATAATTTAGAGTATTTGAAAGATGTCCTGCTATTACAAGACCTCTCCAGTCTAGTAATGATTCTGTTTTGTTTCCTTACAGGTTAAACATATTGCTGGCTGGTATGAACCCCTTCTATTTCCATGCAGTGAATGTAATTTTACACTGTCTAGTGACTCTTGTGCTGATGTACACTTGTGACAAAGCTGTGTTCAAGGACTGTCGACTTGCTTTTGTCACGGCGCTGTTCTTTGCTGTGCATCCCATTCACACCGAGGCTGTAAGTATGTGACACACACACACACAAAAAAGAAAGGTGACACAAAAGCTAGAAATAAATGCATACTTTAATTTTTTTTTTTTAAAGAAACCTCTGAGTCATACAGAATATAGTACTTCTGATTTTTGCTGTGGAGGAGCAAAGGTGAGAATATACTATATTTAAAATAATTTGGAGGAGTCATTAAGAAAAAAGTGTATTCATACTTGCTATCTTTCTGCTCCGGCACTAAATTCTAATTGACGGCCCCTCATCAGCGATGCTGGGAATAAATGGACAGTCATTCAGCTGGTGAAAACGACGAGTCTTCTGAAACCAAAGACCTCGGTGGGGCCATGCTCTCCTGCTGGGACATTGTTGCGTGCCTTCAGTCATCTCCTATAGTCATCAATTTAAGGGAGAAAAAGTGAAGGGAGCATTAGTGTGTATTCTGGAGGAGACCACTCAGAGGTGATATGACCCATGGATTAATTTGTACTGATTTCAATTAAAAGCTCGGAGTATCATCTTCAGAAAAAACTTGTTAGCTTAATAAACGTTATGGTAAGTTTACAGAGCAACAGCTCATATTGGACATTTTTCTCTTCATTATAAGGAAACATTTAAAGACATAGTCATGCTAAAACTGCAGTCTGTTAGTGTGGGGAGGTGCTTCTGTAGATAAAATGAGTCTTGCTGTCTTTGAGAAGGAAATGCAGTGTCTAGCTATCCGTACCTAAAAAAAGAAATGCACTCATTAGCCGAGATACCATTGACATCACATGCTGTCGTTATGAGCCTTTGTAAATGAGCGAGGGAAATGGCTGCTGTGGCTGAGAACTTTTGAGGAGAGATTACCTTAATAACAAAAAGCTGTGAGCTTTACAGTTACTCCCTGTGCTATCTCGTGTGAACTAATCAGCTAGGCTCCTTTTGATAATACAGCTTTATATTATAAGGGAGGTTTTAGAAGAGGCACTTTGAATTTATTTTTGTCTGGGTCAGAACTTAAAAAGGTTAAAATAAATGCCAGAATGCTGAATATAGCTTAATTATGTAATCTCAAAAGAGGTGAAATTTCAAAGGACCTTTTATTTGCTTTATGGGCAATTTTTAGATCTTTATAAAATGGAATATTGAAATAGTTTGTAAAAAGAGTGTTTATTCATTCTTCTTCAGTATTCCCTTTCTTATAAAAAGATTTAGTTAATTAATATGTAGAAAAAACTCTCAAACTCAGATTATTCAGAAAGATAATAAATTACATACCACTCTATCACTTTTTGGTTATAAAGTTCATTCAAATATTAATTATTAACTCATTCCTATATAGTAAGTCTTCTCCAAAGAGTTGCTCTTTCATTAGTCTTTAACAAATCTCAGTTCTGCGTTTCTCATTTGAGCCTTATTGTACAAAATTAAAACAGATCCTTAAAATTGGCATTTCTCTATGCAACTTTATTAATATTTTAATAAGAAAGTAAAGAATGACTTAAGTGTTGGCTTACTCATTTGTTTTGTCAAGTGAGAAATGCAGCAGACAAAATTGATCATATCCTACACTAACCAAGTAGCATTTCACTATAATGAGAGAGGATAACACTGAAAGATGAAAACCTTAAAACAGTGGCAGTTAGCATGGATCATTGAAACAGCCATTGAATGCGCATGCCTTTTTATATATGTGCTTTTTACACCTGTGTGTCTCTTCCTTTTAGGTAACAGGTATAGTAGGCAGAGCGGATGTCCTAGCCTGTCTACTCTTTCTGTTGGCTTTTCTCTCCTATAATAGGTATGGATCCTTGCTGTTGGTTGTGATTAATATCATGAGATGCTCTAGTCTGAGGAGGAGACAAAGGGGAAACCTGCCAGTTTTTTGGTTCTTTTTGGCAGAGGTACTTCCCCCAGCACTGCTGCGTGGAAGTGCTCTGGCCCCTGCTTTCAGCCACAGTGCCAAATAAGTGACGCTTATGAGAACAAATAAACATAAAAAGGAAGTCAACATTTAAAGTCCCCTCTCCCATTGACATTACAGCTGACCATACATTACAGGAGGGCTTATAGAGCTAAAAATTATAAAGAAGTGTTTTCAGCTGAAGGCAAATTGTTTGTATGTATGTGGAGTGAAGAACGGACACATGCCTGCCTTTGAAATACATGCTGTGACTGCAGAACTCTGAAATATGTGGTCTGGGAGAGTTAAGGATTGCATCTAGACCATTAGTCATCCTTTTCAGATGAAAACTTGGCACCATTTGCTGGTCTGTGTCCTAAAACTGTGACTGAACAAGTATAGATAAAGAAATAGTTTTACTCAGATGGGGTTTCTGCCCCTTTTGCATTGTTAGGTTGTTTAGGAATAGCATCGTGTTGTCATGACCGCGTGGAAAAACTGCTTATATCCCCCCTGGGCTGTGTGCTACAAATCCACAACATTGTTTTCGTCAGAAGGTTTCAAAGGCATAAAACTGGTAGTGACCCCACAGCAATCGACTTGTTTGATTTTGGTTCTTTCTTACCTTCTTCCCTCTCATACAGGCTTGCTGCCCAGTCTTTTAATGATTAGGACACATCTTTGACTCAGGGGGGTGTGGGTGGGATGGAGGAATTTTTGCTTGCATAGTGCATTTTGTCACGTAAGGAGAATTAAGCATGTGTGTTCTAGATGACAGAAAGCAGGTGTTTTTCTGCCCTTTCTGTTTTTGTACTTATTCTGCCTCCCTCTGACTTTTTCAAGTCCACTTTATCTTTCTGCTTGTCTTTTTTCCCTCCTCTGCTCAAATTCTTGGTGCACCTCTCAATATTTGTGTTTTCCCTTCCTATCCTGTGTCTAAACCTTTCCTCATTCATCAGCGAACAGTGTAGATTGTTCATGTCGCTTATTACCAGCATCTTAAGAAATTAAGGAAAAGTGTCTCAGTATTTGTGTGAATGTAGTAAACATGAAAATAACTGAGAAGTTAAAATGTTTGTCAAATCTATTTTTCAGGAGTGTGGATCAGCTTTATGTTGGGGAACATTTCCCTCCCACTGCCTCCCCGTTCTTTTTGCTGCTTAGTTTATTCCTTGGGACGTGTGCAATGCTGGTGAAAGAAACTGGAATCACTGTGTTTGGTGTATGCTTGGTTTATGACTTCTTTTCCCTCTCCTGCAATGGACTCAAACTGTAAGTAACTTGCTATGCTTGCTGTGCTTTTCAAGTGTTGCCACCTGTGTGTGCAAAATATATATTATTATATACAGCACTGTGGGAGATGTACTTGCCTGGCTGAATTAGATGGCACACATTTTACAAATTTGGAGGACACCAAGGTTTCATTCTGTGTTGTGGTGTGTTTTGTGTTGTTGTTACTCTATTGCTGCCTGATAACTTTTGCTGGGTAGGTAGACCAGATGTGAAGAACTGATCTCTAAAATGCTCAGCTCACTCTGGCAAGACTGACATTTCTTTTTTTCCATGGGAGTTCTGACTGAAGCGTCAACATCTTAAAATTTCTCTGGCTTACCTCCTTCCATTCACAACATCTGCTTGATTATTCAGTCACAATGTCATGGTTGTAGAAATATATGATGTTTAGTAGTAAAATCAGGTTTGATCCTTTCTGTCCTTACAGAATGGAAAAAGAGGGAAAATATCCAGCCGGTTCTGGAATGATTAGAATAATGAGCAGCTCTATGCAATCACTGGAGAAAAATCAAATACTTTGAAGTTTGTATCCTTCACCCACTCAATGTCACAAATAGCTATGCTATTCTGTATCTCCATTAAAAGTCAGAAATCTTTTGTTTGATAGAAGCTGGTTTTTATCCATTTCTCTCCCAAACCATACCTGTTGCATTTGTATTGACGAGTGAACATAAGAGCTTACTGCCACTGAGAATGGGAGGTCTTGTTCCTGCTATCGCTTCTCATATTCCCACCGGGGCTGCCCCACAGGCTCTGAAGCCTGTCACCCCCCTGCGTGAGCTGGTGTATCTAGGTTATAAAAAAGGACACTGACTTTGTGTTTCTGCAATAGTGAATTAAATCAGCTCCCAGAAGGATTTGGGTAGTCAAAAAGCTGGCACAATGTGAGAGCAGCAGATGGAGGGAGGAGAAGAGGGACTCTCCTCTTTCAGGAGCATCCTGGCTTCCCTCCTGTTCCAGCCCTTCCTCTAGGCCCTAATGGGGGATGGACCACATTTCAGGCCCACCTGCCCTCCCTCCAGCCCCTCTAGCAGCAATAGCAGTCAGAGGGCAGGTATGATGGATCGGCCGAGGATTTCTCCTATTTTGACTGGATCAGTAATTCATAATGGTGTAACTGGTGGGCAAGTGGCCAGCAAGGAGTTTTCTGGGGACTGACAGCCAGCATGCTTGTTAACACTTGCTTTTACAGTCTGCCAGGTGTGCTCCAGGAGCTGCCTCGCTAAAGGTAACACAAATGCTAATTAATCAAGGGAAAATCTGTGCCTTCCTCCTTCCCTCTCTGCCCAATCTCCCCCTTCCCATAGGTTCACATTCCATTGGCCTCTTCAGGTTATTTCTTTGTTTCAGTGGCATCTATTTGCCCAGATATGGCAGTTATTTAGCTTGCAGCAATGAAGCTCTGTAGTTCAGGTGTGCTACATTTTCATCTTTGCTCTGGTTGCATGTATTGTGCACTCTTCTGTCTGTTTGTGGTGTTCAGGATTTTATGACTGTATTTGACTTTTTTAGGGGCAGCAGAAAACCAGCAGCCTTCTACATGCTGCTGAAACTCATCTCCTCCTGCTCTTTCCTCCAACGTGTACAGATTTGTTTTCTGTTTAAACAAGGCAGAACTCCAATTATTTTCTGCAGCAAAAAATTGGGAACGGCACCATATTCTTCCTCACGGTGCTTCCCACCTTACCAGAGGTCCAGAGAACAGCTTGATACGGGAGTGCTCATCTTCTGTTGCTGTTGAGTCTGTTCCTCTAGATCTAGTTAGGAACTAATAAATCCTGTCCTCCCATCATGCAAAGACTTTGTAATTTGGATTAAATAAAATGTCATCTGTTGTAGTTAGATACCATGTTGTGCTGTTTTCGTAATGTTCAACCTTTTGATAAGTAAACGTGACAAATAAAAATTCTTAAATCCTTTCCTCTCTTCCCCCTGCCCCCCCTCTTTTCTCTTTTTCAGGAGAAATGGGGGGATCCACCAGAGACCTGTCCGGCAGCCTGCGGCTTCTCCTTCTGCCTCTCTGCAGGTCCCTCCGGCTGGCCGGGAGAACGGGAAGCATCGCTTTGCTCACCGGGGCACCTGGAGCTCCTGCCACACAGCATCACCCGAGGAGCAGCGGAGCGGTGGCCTTTCTGTGCCCAGCAAAGCCATGTGGGCCATTCGGAGGTACTGCCGGCTACCTGCTGCTCCATTGTGGTTTAGTTTGCAGCTGATCCTACCTTAAAGTGTCAAGTCATTCACTTTTTTTTTAGTGATTTTTATCCTGAAATGTGCTGTAATTTTTCTTGTGCTACTGGAAAGGGAAGAGAGGAGAAGGTGGGAGCAGGGTTAAGGGAAGAAAGAGGAGGAAATTGAAAAGTCCATTTCTTCTTCTTGGGGAGATGAGAGTATCTGAGGGCTGTCCATGCCTTGAGACTTTCTATACTAGTACGATATTGGTAGGCAATGCTCTCCTTCCCAGATTCTCCAAGGGGAAAGCCAAAACTGTAATGCTAGTTTGATTGTGAAGAGGGGGAATATGTGCATGTATAAATAATGCTTGAAGTGAGGTGAGCGCAGTGTGAGCGGTGTATTACGTGATATCGCTATATATCTATATATACATGTTTGTAGGTACAATTTCTGCACATAGATATACATACATGTGTGTAGGGTGTGTGTGTATGCATATTTATGTATAGATATATGAAAGTAGAGGTGTTGCCAACTTCTGCTTTATGCCTAAGAATGTGCATATAATGGTGAGAGCCGGGCTGAGGGACTAACAGAAGGATTTTCACCAGTCGTGTCCAGCAGTTCTCGGCACATTCACTGGGGAAGGAAGGACTCCAGGGCCACTCTCTGGCAGGAAACCTTGGTGCCCTTATTCCTGTGGAACAGCACTGAGTAAGAGCATTTAAGGAGGTGTAACTCAGCAGCTGCTCCGTCGATCTGTGCAAGGGTGTAGGTTTTTTTTCTTTTAACCTTGATCTTTGTACAATCTCCATGGTAGCCCTTGCCCAGCTTGCCCTTTGTTGCTGGCTTTTGGTTTTAACTACAGAACACTCCCAGTTTCATTTAATTTGGAGACCTGTAATAATGAATTGCCCTGGGTTACCTATTCCTTGGAGAAAGTGTTTTGTTCCTTAAATAGAATTACCTGGTGCAGTTCTCTGATCATTTAATGGTTGGCATCTGAATGGGTGCCATGCAGCACTCCTGAAACCTGGGAAACGGAGTGTTTTATTCCCACATAATGCCCCTCATTAATCAGTTCAGTAGGAGCTGTTTGGTGGTTGTTGTGGGTTGTTGTTGTTTTTTTTTTTTCCTTTTTGTAAATAATCTTCTGCTGCATCAGTATTGATGGCATATAAGTGTTACATGAGATCTGTAACATTCTCAGATCACAGAGTCTGTTTCCTCTACCTGTAGTTTAAATGGCTCAACCCACTCAAGAGCTTCTGCCCTGCAGGTATTTTGTCTGTTTGGTCTGACTTGGGTTTTGGGTTTTATTTTTACCAAGGAAGGGAATGGGTTTGGTTGCGTTGCGTCTCCATGTGGGAATCTGTGACACAAAAATGGCAAGGAAGTCAAGGCTTTTCAGAGCGGGTAAGTGCCTGCTGCTCCGGCACGGGGACTCTTCTGGCCATTGGGAACAGCTTCTAAAGTTGTTTGTTTGAATTTATTTCTTCTCCTGTATCTGCAAATGAGTAGCACAGTTAGAAAGTGTGGGTCACCCTGGCTGCTTCTGATATGCCAGGCCAGAATGGGCTGTCCAAAAGCCTTGTTTAACATCTTGCCCCTAAAGTTTAGGACCTGGGTGGGGAGCAGTAGCCTGAGCACAACGCTGGTGCAGCTGCTGTTCCTGGCCTTTGCGCTCTCCACATTTCTCAATGCTTTTGTTATCTTTGATACTTGTATTTGTTTCCATTTTCCCTGATGGATACTATGGTGGAGGGTATCAATATGAAAAATGTCTCCTGTCTTGCTCCATCTGCTTGTTCCGTGTTTCTTTTACCCCTATTTCTTTCTTTCTTCCTACTGCTCCTTTCTCCCCTCCTTTGCTTTGTACTTTTTCCAGACACCCTCCGTCTACCCCTGCTTTTGGGAATGTCCCTTTCTTACACCAAGGGGGAAACCTCTGGTTTTCCAGCCTCTTCAGAAGAGGCTGAAGAAGTTGCGTTGGGGAGACTGTGCACGTGGGATGGCTTCAGAGGGAACTCAACCACGCTGCCAACTGGCATTTGCTTTTCGGCAGCTGCCTCTTCAAGTGTTGTAAAGGATTTCTGCACATGGCAAATCAAGCTCTGCATTTCTTTTAAAAAGAGGCTCTCATGATGTAAGCTGCTCAGCTTCACTTTTCAAGTGACTGTGTACAACGCACTTGCAACAACCTGTGGTGTGATGGTTTGTTGTGGGATGCCCAAAGTAGAGCTGGCTTGGGCCCAGTGCCTGAGAAGGAAGTCTGCTGCTGCGCATTTGTGTGAGAGTTGTGCCCGAGAGCCTTGGGAGAAAGCCTGGGATGGGTTAATGGATGCTACTTTGAAAGAAACTTCTCTAAAACACTGTTGGCAACCTTCTTTGCTAGTTTTTCCCTTGCTCTGAATTTCTCTTTCCTCTGAAGGCAAGATAAGGTTGGAAAACTTCTTGTTGCATGGAATGACAGCTTCATAGAGCCTGGGCAATTTGACCGGTGCCTGCTTGTCTGACGTCAATGTTTGTTAGTCACTCTAAAAAGTAAATGTGCTGCTACAGCATTTGTATTTTCAAGAGATCTTAATTCTCAGCCACGTGGAGCGTGCTTGCAGTAGTATGGAACAGCAAGATTAAATGTATTGCAGCTCACTGGCTCTCGAACTGACATCCACATCACGTGGAGGTCTGTTGACCACTACCTGATCATATGGCTGCAGTTGTCTTCTTACTTCCATTTGCTGACTGCTCTCACAGGACAGATTAAAATAGTCGAAATACTTTCTGTACACAGTCTTTAGTGCTATTGGCATATTATGTGATATGAAGTAGGAAGCACTCAAGGCAATTGCTCTATTAAAATACAGTCCATCTTTTTTTTAAAAAAAAAAAGGAAATCCTTGCTACAGATCAAAAAAGAAGGAAAAAACCTGAAGTTGCTGTCAAATATACAGAATTAATTACACAATTTCTGCTCTGTAATAGATGTTTCTCTGACTTGTGTAGGTCTCTTCCATGGCAAAAGGGAGGGGAAAAGATTTTTAAATATTTCAAAAACTCCAAAGTTGGAGGTCAGATTGGGCACAATGAAGTAGCTTCAGGTACCTTATCTAGTGCACCAGGTTGCTAGTTGTCAGGCCTTCATTAGAATAAAATAGTTGTGCACTGCTTAATCTGTACTTTTAACTACTTGTAATGCGATCAGTTCAGTTTCTATTTAATAATAATTTATTATGTATCTTGCTACTAGAGCTAACTGAAAAATGCAGGAAAATGTAATGGAGGAGTTAAGGGAATCGGTCTAATAAGCAGTAATTGGAGGTAGTTATGTAAATTCTTGGTGCAGAGAGATTTCTGTTCTTTTTTGTTACTTGCTCTTATCTTTAGCTATCCAATGGATCTGTGCGTTGCAGTCATGGGTGCCTTCAGGAGTAAGGAATGAGTTTGTCTGGATGAAATTGTAGATTTTATTGCAATTTTGGGAGATACTGGCATATACTACTGAAACAAAGTAACTAGGATCTCTTAGAGTTCGATCCATCTCCCTGAGTTTTAAGACCTGAAAGAGACTTGTGACTGTATGTCCCCTCCTGTATGACACAAAGGGAGAAGGGCAGATGGGAACTTTCACATCAGGCTTGTACTTCTGTTTGGGGTAAGGCCAAAGCTTCAGTAGTTTCACTTTGACGGTGCACTACACATATGCATGTCCTGTTAAAAAGCAGTATCAGTGCCAACACCTCATTGCTCTCCACAGCTATACTCTGTTAGATCCATGAATATGTTTAATAAGGATGATATACGTAAAACAACAAGCTGCCACAGTCCTTTGTCCAAGTTGTGTCCATAGTTATTGTTCCTCATTCTCTTTGTCATGATTTGTTGAACTCACTGAAAACTGAGATTTTTTGATTTGATTTTATTTTTTTTTTAAAAAAAAAATTCCAAGGCTGCATATAGTTGTAGTCATGCCCTGCCATATGTGCTTCATACACAGCATTGCTAAATGCTGTCCAGCCCACGGACACCCTCATACAACCTAATTACCTTGATGGTTTTGAATTTTGTAAATGAGCCTGAGCCCACAGTCTAAGCTTCTTGAAAAACAAGACTCCTCAATAGCTTGTGTACTTTTGGAACTGAAATCTCTGTTTCTCTTTGGTGACCTAGAAACTGATTTTTATTGTATCTGCTTTTGGTGATTTAGCTGGTGAGACTCTTCCCTTAGAATGGACAATAGACCAGTGTTGAATGCTGCCTTTTTCCATGTACATGAACTGTTGCATTACTTTTTTGTTTGTTTGTTTTTAAAATTTTTTGGCCAAGTGACAGAATGAGAGAAGAGGCAGGTGTACTTGGAGATGTGCCCAACAGCATCACTTTAAATCTCTGTGTATGTGCAAAAGAGAGTGAGGGAGCTCACTACTCTTTAGCACTGTGGGATCCAGGCACAAAACCCCATTGATCCAAAAGTAAATGAAATCCTTAAGGCTATAGCAGGGATAAATGTGATCTGATGACTAAACTGGCAGCAATGTTGTTTGCTTTTGCAGTAGCAGGGGAAAGAAAATGGAAACGCTTTGCAGAACATGGTGCATTCCAGGGATGGCTGTGCTGGCCCTAAGATTGATACACTATGAGGAAAAGTATGTTGAGGTCATAATGTGTCTTCCCTGAGTCCCTGCGCAGCGTGCGCGGTCAGTGTTTGAGCTAAAACAGATGCTGTTCTCCGACATGAAGTAAGAGTGGAGAGAGAGGAGGGGAAAAGCATTGGCACAGACAACGTGCGATTACGTAGCAATTGCTTGGTGTTGACTTGGCTCCTCATTGCTGAGTGCTTCTATTTCCAATTCTTCTGTAGCACTGTCTTTTTTTTTAATAACTAATTTGACAGTATAGCACATTTCTGCCTTAACATGAAATTCCTGTTCAAAAAGCACAAGGCAGCTGCATTTCTAATGCTTCCCCTTGCCACACATTGTAGTGCTACTTCC